GCAGCCTCCGCCTCCTGGGTTCAGGCAATTCTCCTGCCTCAGCCTCCTGAGTAGCTGGGATTACAGGCACGCGCCACCATGCCCAGCTAATTTTTTTGTATTTTTAGTAGAGACGGGGTTTCACCGTGTTGACCAGGATGGGCTCGATCTCTTGACCTCGTGATCCACCTGCCTCGGCCTCCCAAAGTGCTGGGATTACAGGCTTGAGCCACCGCGCCCGGCCTGATTCTACTTAATACTTTTAAATATTGAGCTAAGGTTGAAATTGAACAAAGGTAACTGAAATGCTGATGAGAGGACTACTCTAATTCTCAGCCTTGTTCCTTTATAGGTAAGGTTTTTTTTACCTTTGACTTCTTTATATTTGATTTTCTGAAACTGGAATATGATACACCTGATTGCAGTGGTTTTTGGGCAGGGGGATGAACTTATCTTGCTTGGTGTTCTCTGTATTTCCTGGACCTGTGGTTTGGTTTATGACACTAATCTGGGAAAGTTCTCTGTCATTATTTCCTCAAATACTGCTTCTGTTCCTCCTTTTTTTCTAGTATTACCTTTATGCATGTATTACACTATTTGTAGTTGTCCCACAGTTCTTAGATCATCTGTTCCTTTTTTTCCCTCAATATTTTATCTCTTTGTTTTTCAGTTTGGGACTTTTTTTTTTTTTTTTTTGAGATATCCACATAGACTACTCATGAGCCCATTGAAGGCATTTCTTTATTTCCATTACAGGAATTTTATTTCTACTTTTATTTTTTTGAGATGGAGTCTTGCTCTGTCGCCCAGCCTGGAGTGCAGTGGTGCGATCCTGGCTCACCACAACCTCCATCTCCTGGGTTCAAGTGATTCTCTTGCCTCAGCCTCCTGAGTAACTGGAATTACAGGCCTATGCTACCACACCCAGCTAATTTTTGTATTTTTAGTAGAGATGGGATTTCACCATGTTGGTCAGGCTGGTTTCAAACTCTTGACTGTATGATCCACCTGCCTCAGCCTCCCAAAGTGCTGGGATTGCACGTGTGAGCCACCTTGCCCAGCCTCTTTTTGATTCTTTAATAAAATTTTCATTTCTCTGCTTACATTATCCATCTCTTCTTGCATGTTGTATACTTTTTCCCAATAACACTTTTAGCATATTAGTCATAGTCTCTTAAATTCTTGGACTGATAATTCCAACATTCCTAACATATCTCAGATTCTGATGCTTGTTCAGTCTGTTCAAACTGTTTTTTGTTGTTGTTGTTTTTGTTTTCACTGTTTAGTATACCTCATAATTTTATGTTGAAGGGTGGACATGATGTACTGGGTGAAAGGAACTGCCTTTCATAATGTAGTGGTAAGGTGTTGGGGGAAGAGAAGCATTTCATAATCTTAAAGTTATGATAAGCCTGTGCTCCTGGACGAAGAACTTCATTAGTTCTTAATTTTTCTTCCACCTTATGTGGGATGGGATGGCTAGAGGGGGCTGGAGTATTTATTTCCCTTTCCTTAGGTGGAAAGCTAGAGCTGGGTATTTCCTTTCCCTATGGTAGGTTAGGCCCTGCTAAAACTCCAGCAGGTTAGATTCTGGTAAAATAGTTTCTCTTGAGGGCAGGCCTTGTTAAGAATGGAATACTCGGGCTAGGCGTAGTGGCTCATGCCCGGGAAGCCAAGGTGGGCAGATCACGAGGTCAAGAGTTTGAGATCATTGTGATGAACATGGTGAAACCCCCTCTCTACTAAAAATACAAAAAACTAGCTGGGCATGATGGCACGTGCCTGTAATCCCAGCTACTCGGGAGGCTGAGGCAGGAGAATCATGTGAACCCAGGAGGCAAAGGCTGCAGTGGCCGAGATCACACCACTGCACTCCAGACCAGGCGGCAGTGCGAGATTCTGTCTCAAAAAAAAAAAAAAAAAAAAAAAAAAGGAATACTCTGGTCTATTTTTAAAAATGTTTTTATCTTAGACCTTCCAAAAACACAAGGGAATTGTTCTCCAATGTTCACTCTGAAAACCTGATAGAGCTCCTGGAGGTAAAACTCACAAAACCTTTGGGACACCCATGATGAGAGTTTTGAACCAGACTTGTCCCGACTGAGCTTCCAGCTATTCACCAATTACAGTGCAAGTTTTCCTATGCCCGCACTGGTTCCTGCAGAGATTTCTGCTTGTGGGTTTCTCTTCTGGTGAACTGTCACTCTCCATAGCTTCCTATCTCATTTTGGGGGCAGTTGTTTGCCCTGTTACTGCACTTCTCTGAGAGATCTTAGAAGAGTTTAGTTTGTTCAGCTTTTCACTTGTTAGGACAGAGTTGTGACTTCTAAGATCCTTGTAAGTCAGACTGAAAACTGGAAGTCTTCCTGTTATAATTTTCCAGTTTCCTTCTTCCTGTGTTGATCTTAAATAACACTGGTGATAGAATATATTGGGCTGTTTTCCCAAGAAAAGAGTGAATATATCTAAAAAATTTCCTTTGAGATTATTAGTTGCTGGTTTATGAAAGGAGTCCTTTATTATATCAAGAATGAAACCTTTTATCTTTATAGGCTTTTAATGAGTCCTGAGTTTCCTCCATTGGCATCTACTAAGAAAAGAGTATGGAGGTACAGTAGGTGATGAGAAGAGGTGAGATAACTGAGAAAGGGAAGTGGGTGAGGAGATATATAATTAGCATTCTTTAACATCTTCAACATGATTTTCTTGATTTTTTTTTTTACTCTCATTGTGAGAAATTGTATGGCAAATAATACACTACATTTGCACAATTAACCCCGACTTTTTTCTTTTTTATTGACACAATTATTGTACATAAAGTACAATGTGATGTTTCAATACATATATACATTGTATAATGATCATATAAAGTTAATTAGCAAATCCATGATCTCAAATATATATCATTTCTATGTGACAAGAGCATTAAAAGCATCTCTCTTTTATTTTTAAGATATGTTATTATTAACTATAATCCCACTACCATGCAGGAGAACAACACAGCTTATTCTTCTATCTAACAATAACATTGTACTTTTCCAACACCCTTCTTAAGACAAGGTCACATTCTGTTGCCTAGAGTGGTGGGAAGTGGTGCAGTCACAGCTCACTGCAGCCTTGAATTTCTGGGTTCAAGCAGTCCTTCCATGTCACTCTACCAAGTAGCTAGAACTACAGGTGCATACCACCATGTGTATATATATATATATATATATATATATATATATATATATATATATATATAAAATTTTTTTTTGTAAAAACAGAGGGGTCGCACTATGTCATGTTGGTCAGGCTGGTCTCAAATTCCAGGACTCAAGTGATCCTCCAGCCTCAGCCTCTCAAAGTGTTGGGATTACTTGCATGAGCCACAACACCTGCCCCCAACAGCTTTTTCTAATATTTTTTAATATCCATGTTCACTTGGTATATTTCAGTTCCCAACTAGTTTCCTTGAAGCATTTCTAGATGAAACCTTTATCTGTTGGAGTAGATTTTCATATCTTATCTCTGGTCTTTTATACAATTTTTACCCTAAGTATAATGAACTTGCTCTTGTATCTTATAACAATATTTTTTTTTGTGTTCTCTTTCCCTAATATATTCTCAGTTCCTGAAAATAATTACTTAGTTTACATCTACAGGGCTCTTGTTAAGGTACTCAGTAGATACAGAATTGATTTAAAGAGGCAAGAAAGGAATTTGAGGTTTATCAGTATTGACATAATTATTTTAATAGCTATTTCACTGTCTCCCCAACTTAATCTTTCATGTATTTTGTGTACCCATGATATAGGTACAGATCTTGATCCATTATTGAGATAGGCATTAAATATTTCATTAAAGAAATATAGTCTATTTATTTTCCCTAAAAGCTTTCAGTGGGAGTGATAACAGACATTTTTTCCTAAAGTGTCAAAGTTATGTTAGACTCAAATGAAATGCATTTTTAGATGTTATAGGGAAGTAATTTTAAACTTATATAAAAATTGTAAGAATAGTACAAAGAATGCCGACATTCACCTTTGCTTACACCCATTTGCCTTATTTGGCATACGATTTTTCTTCTGAAACATTTGAGAATAAGTTATATATATTATGGTCTTTTACCTCTTACACATAATTATAGATTTCCTAAGAATAAGAATCTCCTAAGAATATGAATGTATTTTTAAAGAAACACTTCCTATTATTTTGAAATTCGGTTCCAATTTAAAAATCATGAAGTCCATCTTAAAATTCAGCATGGAGAAAATTAGGGCTTATATTTGTCAAACATATTTGATATTAAGACACTTTTTCCAATTTTCAGTTTACATTAAAGGTTACTCATGTTATATGAGTAAACTGTGTGTCATGGGGGTTTGATGTACAGATAATTTTGTCACCTGGTAATCAGCATCATGCCTAAGAGTCAGGTTTTTAATCCTCAACCTCCTCCCACCTTCCACCCTCAAATAGGTCCCAGAAAAGACAAAATTGTATCAAATATGAGCTTCATAATAGTTTAGGAGGCAGAGTTGGAGTTAGGATAAGAGAGAGGTTTCTAAGAAAGCACTTATTTTTTTTCAGTAGAGTAAGTTATTGTAGCATGTTCCAAAGGCACTAAGTGAACAGAATCTAATGTCTTTGTGCAACCTGACAAACAATTGCAGTGTGTTTATTAGTAGCATTATGAAATTGCCATTTTTAGAGAATTCTGGCAGTAAGTACTGTTTAAATGGTGGTGAGGAAGACTAGCAAGCTATCCTTCACAAATACTTTCTTCCTGATAGCTCTATTTTCACCACTTTTCAATTACTTATATTTAATCTTTCTCCTTATTTACCTATATCTCTATCTCTGTTTGACCTTTTCTGAAGTTCTGGGCATACAGACTTCACAGTCACAGATAGCTGTGAAAGCCATGCATGCTATTGATAAGATTTTTTAAAAAAATTCTGTTGCTAAAGAAGGGAGAATGGCCTTATTTTATTCAGTACAGGAAAAAGAAACATTCACTTTTTTTGGGTATCTTTCAGTTTCAGAGCCAACTGGTGACATCAAAGACTTTTCATCAAAAAATGTCATTTATGATGACTCATCCCAGTATTTGATCATGGAAAGAATTCTAAGCCAAGGCCCTGTATATTCCAGTTTTAAAGGAGGCTGGAAATGCAAGGACCCTATTGAGATGCTGCAAGAAAATCAAGGATGTGTAAGGAAAGTAACAGTCTCTCACCAAGAAGCCCTGGCCCAACATATGAATATCAGTACCGTGGAGAGGCCCTATGGATGCCATGAATGTGGAAAAACTTTCAGTCGACGCTTTTCCCTGGTGTTACATCAGAGGACTCATACTGGAGAAAAACCATATGCGTGTAATGAATGTGGCAAAACCTTTAGCCAGATTTCAAACCTTGTGAAACATCAAATGATACATACTGGAAAGAAACCCCATGAATGTAAGGACTGTAATAAAACATTCAGTTACCTTTCATTTCTTATTGAACACCAGAGAACACACACTGGGGAGAAACCTTATGAATGTACTGAGTGTGGAAAGGCCTTTAGCCGTGCCTCCAACCTCACTCGACATCAGAGGATTCACATAGGAAAGAAACAGTATATATGTAGGAAATGTGGGAAAGCATTTAGCAGCGGCTCAGAACTCATTCGCCATCAGATCACACATACTGGAGAGAAACCTTATGAATGCATTGAATGTGGGAAGGCATTTCGCCGTTTCTCACACCTTACGCGACATCAAAGCATCCATACAACCAAAACCCCATATGAATGTAATGAATGTAGGAAAGCTTTCCGTTGTCACTCATTCCTTATTAAACATCAGAGAATTCATGCTGGAGAAAAGCTCTATGAATGTGATGAATGTGGTAAAGTTTTCACTTGGCATGCATCCCTTATTCAACATACGAAAATTCATACTGGAGAGAAACCTTATGCATGTGCTGAATGTGATAAAGCCTTCAGTCGAAGCTTTTCCCTCATTCTACATCAGAGAACTCATACTGGGGAAAAACCCTATGTATGTAAGGTATGCAACAAATCCTTCAGCTGGAGCTCGAACCTTGCTAAACATCAGAGAACACACACTCTTGACAACCCCTATGAATATGAAAATTCATTTAATTACCACTCATTCCTTACTCAACACCAGTGAATTTACAGTGCAAAGAAAAACTATGAATGTATGGATTTTTTTTAAAGCATATAATGCCTTACTTTTGCTTCAGAGAACTTTTGGAAAGAAGCCTTATGTAAAAGTAATGAATGTGAAAGCCCACACTTATTTAACATGCTGAGCAAAAAAACCCAGGAATATGTGGAAAAGCCATTAGTAAACACTTTTTTTTTTTTTTTTTGCAATAACAAGGTGAAATCAACATTGTGAACAAGATTCTTCCATCTGGTAATATTGAGAAGACTTCATTTGGTAGGATTCCCTTACTCTACATATGTAAATTCCTACCAGTAAAGAGTACATATCCAGTAAATTTGAGAAAGCTAGAGATCGGCCCTCATTCTGCATCTGTCAACCAGGACAGACTGCATGGGTAAGGGATGAGCTTTACGAAGATGTACTTTGGAGATGAGAAAATGGATGTTTAAGCAAAGTGATAAGAGCAGTGATTTCGGAATGCCTTCAATTAATTATAATGCAATAATTAAATGTTAATACTCTGTAGGAGAAAAAGCAACTATATAAATGAATGTAGAGTGACTTTCTGCAATATTTCAAACCTATATCAGAATTACACCGTGGGAAAACTACCATTGTAATGTGTAGCAAAATCAGCTTGGATATCTGAAAAGTCATACTGGATGTAATCTGTTGGAAATGGTTTTATTTTGAGGGAAGGGGGATTTTTGTTTTTTAAGTGAATTCAAAAAAGTTATAAATAAATCTGGTTTGTAAATCTTGTACTTCCTGATTTTTTCCCACAATGCACGATTCTTAAAATTTAACAGTACTGACATAAAAAAGAGTAGTGTGCTTTTGTTGAAACACACAAACATAGCTATAGAATTGTTTTAGGTGTTTTATGGTTTTAACTTTCAGACAGTTTGGATTTAAGGTAATGCTAACTGACGGTTATCCTTGAATCTAACTATAGACATCTGTTACTCAGTGTGAGATAAGTGTAAATAAGATACATGACAGAAGATTACCAAGGCACACTTTCTGTTTTGTTCCATGTACAATAAAAACCATTCTTTTGTAAGCGTGTATTTAAAACTGTTCTGGCATTATCTGCTGCCCAGCTGGCAAAGCTCACATCATCAGGGTGAGTTTGCTTTGATCAGGAAGATAAGCAATTTTATTTTGTAGAAAGAGAAGTAGAGCATCCGGGCACGGTGGCTCATGCCTGTAATCCCAGCACTTTGGGAGGCCGAGGAGGTTGGATCACGAGGTCAGGAGATCGAGACCCATCCTGGCCAACATGGTGAAACCATATTTCTACTAAAATCCAAAAATTAGCTGAGTGTGGTGGTGCGCACCTGTAGTCCCAGCTACTTGGGAGGCTGAGGCAGGAGAATCGCAGGAGGTGGAGGTTGCAGTGAGCCAAGATTGCGCCACTGCACTCCAGCCTTGTGCCTGAATGAGACAGTCTCAAAAAAAAAAAAAAAAGTAGAGAATATGAATAGGAATGAATTTAGTGAGCATTAATGTAATGGCTACATTGAGGGCACATTTGTAGAAGGTGTTATTAGATAAATAGCTCATAAGATTGGGGTGTCCAATCTTTTGGCATCCCTGGCCCACACTGGAAGAATTTTCTTGTGCCACATACAAAATACAGAAAAAGATTGGACACCCCTGCTTTAGAGGGAGATGTAAGCATCAGAATGAATTACTATGTTCATTTTGTTCCCTTAACCAGAGAAAGGCCAAAAGACACTCCCTTCAGGGTATTAAGAAACACACTGGAGAGGAAGGTACCACCCTCCTTGGACAACTCTGTGGTACCTACCCTCCTTAGACTGTAGATGATGGGGAAGTTTCATAATGAAAGTAATATTCCACTTTCAGTAAATCATGGGATCTTGGCAAGGGAGGGGTTGGATAAAATTTGCACAAGAGTCCAAGGAATGCACTGGTAATGAGAATTTTAGCCATATAGGTGGCAATGGCTAAATGATCATGGGGTTCCTAGAAATAAATGGATAGCCCACAAAGGTACTATTTGACATATGGTTGAAACCAGTTTAGTCCTAAATCTTCTCAACTGATGGGGATGCAGGTCCCTTTAAGAAAGACTGCTGCAATTGGGAGAGGGGCTCATATGTACACTGTGAAAAAACTGGTAACCTGTATTTTCATACTGAGCTACAGTATCCTTCAGAAATAAAAAATGTTTCAGAATAACAAAAATGGAGGAAAGTTATGGTAGCATGCTTATCCTAAAAGAAATACTAGTTTTTCAGGCAATATGAAATAATCTTAGATAGAAACTTCGAAATGCAGAAAGAAGTAACACTGGAGGGGTAAGTACGTTGATAAATACAAGTCAGGTTTTGGGAAATCATGGTCCATTGACCAAATCAAGACCTTTGAGCTAAGAATGATTTTAACATCTCCAAAAAGCTGCTTAGAAAAATGAAGGATAATATGTAACAACAACCATATATGGCCTGCAAAACCTAGAATATTTACTCTCAGGACCTCTTCAGAAAAAGTTTGTCTACTCTGATATAAATATTGACTTTACATAACAATATCTGGTGAGGTATAAAATATACATCAAACGGCCGGGCGCGGTGGCTCAAGCCTGTAATCCCAGCACTTTGGGAGGCCGCGGCGGGTGGATCACGAGGTCAACAGATCGAGACCATCCTGGTCAACATGGTGAAACCGTGTCTCTACTAAAAATACAAAAAATTAGCTGGGCATGGTGGCGCGTGCCTGTAATCCCAGCTACTCAGGAGGCTGAGGCAGGAGAATTGCCTGAACCCAGGAGGCGGAGGTTGTGGTGAGCCGAGATCGCGCCATTGCACTCCAGCCTGGGTAACAAGAGCGAAACTTCGTCTCAAAAAAAAAAAACCAAACCAAACCAAAACAAAAAAAAACATCAAACTAAATGGCATGCTAATAGCACAAGAAACAAGGGAGACAGTTAAAAGGTGAGTCTAGGAACACTGGGAAGGTGGCAAAAGTATTAATTTGGGTCTTTCATGATCTGGGAGCTGGTTAAGTGTATTTTATTTGGGGAAATTCATAAAGATGCACACTTTTCTCTGTGTATTATTCTTCAGAAAAAAAGGTGTTTTTTTTTTAACATAAGTCTCCCAGAAGATTATTAAAACTAATCTTCAGCATTAATAAAAGAAGTTACCAGGAATGCAGCAAGGGGATACAGCAACAGATGTAATTAATATTAGTAAAGAATATTCATGGGAGAATTACCATAATTCTGTATTTTCTTGGAAAGCAACAATCAAATGCTTTGGGAGACTTAAGATACCCACAAATAGATAAAGCTGGGTTAACTTTTGTTGCTGTGATGTGCCCAAAAGAATTTTCCATCATACATCCATGTATCTAATGACAGGGGGCTAAGTGGCTTTTGCCTGTAATCCCAGCACTTTGGAAGGCTGAGGTAGGCAGATCACTTGAGGTCAGGAGTTTGAGACCAGCTTGGCCAACATGGTGAAACCCTATCTCTACTAAAAATACAAAAATTAGCTGGGTGAGGCAGTGCACACCTGTAATCTAAGCTACTCGGGAGGCATGAGAATTGCTTGAACCCAGGAGACAGTTTGCAGTGAGCTGAGATCGTGCCACTGCACTCCAGCCTGGGCAACAAAGCAAGCTCCATCTCAAACAAAACAAAACAAAAACAAAGAAAAGAAAACAAGGACAGGAAATCTGTTAAATCCCTCTGAAGAGATCCAAGAAATTTCAGAGCAAAAAGAGGTAGCAATAGTTGCATATTGGGTATGAGTGATTTGGAAGAAAGAGTACAAATCTTTAGCAACACTTTCAAAAAGTCTGCCTTTAAAAGGTAGGACATAAGCTGGGTGCAGTGACTCACACCTGTAATCCCGGCACTTTGGGAGGCTGAGGCGGGCAGATTATGAGGTCAGGGGTTCGTGAGCAGCCTGACCAACATGGTGAAGACCTGTCTCTACTTAAAAATACAAAAATTAGCCAGGCATGGCGGCACACACCTGTAATCTCAGCTACTTGGGAGGCTGAGGCAGGAGAATCGCTTGAACCTGGGAGGCAACAGTTGCGGTGAGCCGAGAGTGTGCCATTGCACTCCAACCTGAACGACAAAGACTCCATCTCAAAAAAAAAAAAAAAAACCATAGAAAAAGTGACAGAAAGTATAAAAATTTATATTTTAACAATTCTTTTAAGAAATGATTTTACAGGAAAGATGCAGTGACCTGTGCCTGTAACCCCAGCACTTTGGGAAGCCAAGGCAGAAAGATTGCTTGAGCCCTGGAGTTTGATACTAGCCTGGGCAATGTAGTCAGACTCCATCTCTACAAAAAATACAAATAATAAAAAAATCATCCAGGTGTGGTAGCACATACCTGTGGTCCCAGCATCTGAGGAGGCTGAGGTAGGAGGATCACATGAGGCCAGAAGATTGAGGCTCCAGAGAGCTGAGATGGTGCCACTACACTCCAGCCTGGGCAAGATTGAGACACTGTCTCAAAACAAGAGAGAAATGAGTATTACAGAAGTAATTTTTAAAAATAAATTCTGCATCTGGTATACTCTCAATATCACAAAGGACAAAATCATGTAGAAAAAAATGGATATTGCATCAAAAATATTTTAGAAAAATCAGAACTCACATGAAACTGTGCTCATAGGTGGAAAATATAATTTTATGTGTCTGATATGCATTTCTTAAGTTAGAGGTAAATTTAAATCATGACATATATGAGCTATGAATTTCCTGTTTATGCTAAAGCAAATCTCAATGTCTTTTGAGAAGTGAATAGAACTTATGGAAAAATTAAGAAAAGAAACCCAGTAACTTATGGAAAAATTAAAAAGTAAAGAAAATTAAAAAGTGAATGCTTAGTTTCCTGGCATTCAGATTTCATACATGAACTATTGCAATAGCTTCCTAGCCTTTCAAGATTTTTTTATACAAAAGCAGTGTGATCTTTTAAAAACAAATAGTTTCAATCTCTGAAAAATCCTTAAATAGCTCCTCATAACTCTTCAAAGTATAAACTCACGTCACAGCTGGCAAAGTCTTTTGTTATCTGCCCCTGCCTCCTTTCAATCTGGTTTCATATGCTCTTCTCCTTACCCCTTTCCCTAACAGTTTTCCAGTTACTGGACTTACTTTCTGTCCACATATAAGTCAAAGCCTGATGAATCCTTTTGTTCTACTTAGAAAGCTCTTCCTCTGTCCCTCCACTCCCTGCCCATGGAGCTGAAAGGAGGAGCTCCCTATTCCCTCTTTTCCTTCATATTTCAAGTTGAATGTTACCTTCTCATGGAGATCTTTCTTGACTGATTTTTAACAAATTTTACTATTTTATTTTAGAGACGGAGTCTTGCTCTGCCACCAGGCTGGAGTACAGTGGTGCAATCTCAGCTCACTGCAACTTCCAACTCCTGCGTTCAAGTGATTCTCCTGCCTCAGCTTCCCAAGTAGCTGGGACTACAGGTGCACGCCACCACGCCCAGCTAATTTTTGTATTTTTAGTAGAGAGGGGGTTTAACCATGTTGGCCAGGCTGGTCTGAATCTCTTGAATTCATGATCCGCCCACCTTGGCTTCCCAAAGTCCTGGGATTACAGGTGTGAGCCACTGCACCCAGTCTCTATTTGTTTTGAGACAAAGTCTTGGTGTTGCCCAGGCTGGAGTGCAGTGGCACAATCTCAACTCACTTCAACCTCTGCCTCCTGGGTTCAAGCGATTCTCCTACCTCAGCCTCTTA